CTTGTGGGGCCCTTAATTCCCAGTTCATCGCATACCTGGAAGAAGAGACCAGATGAAAAGCTTGTTTTGAAAAATCTACAGTGAAAATCACAGTGAACCCTGGTGGCTTGTCTTACCTGGTTGAAGATCTCTACAGATATGTCAGGCTGTGCATTGAAGAAGTGGAGGACATTACTGGGGTGCTGGATTCGGTTTTTGGCTGCTTGCTCTGGGGAGGTGAAGCGGTTGTTGCGGGATCCATGGAAATCTTTGAAGCTGCTGGTGTTGTCCTCTAACTGGTAACACTGGCCTGGCACAATAGCCTGCTGCTTGGACACGCTGCCAAGAAAAGATAGCCAGGGATTTTACATCTATATATCTAACTCTGCACTCTGTTCTAATGTTTTGTCATGGTTTCAAGAGCTCCTCTTACCAAACATTGAGTTTCTGTCCAAACAGGAAGTTATTATTGAGGTGAGTGATGGCCCTGTCTACAGAGTAGCAGTCACCCATCTCGACCATTGCTGCCCCAGGCTTACTCTTCATGAACTTAACCTGAAGAAGAAAACCATCCAGCTGACTACACACAAACAATAGCATGTAAAATGCTTGGTGGAGAAATTGCCAGAAACATAATCATATCAATGAGCAGAGTGGTATATGTTACCACTCCACCTTCTTTCAAATAAAAAAATGTATTACCTTTTACTTGAATGAGAGGAGGAAACAGCCACCACTATTTGGTGTCTAAAAGCAAAGCAATGATGCTGCCCACAGTGTTTGCTTAGCTTCACTGTACTAACCCTCTCTACGTTGCCATAGAGGCAGAAGATGTTGAAGACCTTGTCAGCATTGATCTTGGAGGGCTCAAGGCCATACACCATCAGAACTGGGGAGTCAGCATGCGGACCATACTCAGGTGGCGGTGGTCCATATCCAGGCCCATAGCGCTGGCTACCCCGACCACGCCCACCCATTCCTGGCCCCATGCGGTGGGGAGGAGGGGGGCCATAGCTGTCGTCGCTGTAGCCATGATAACCTCCTTGAGGGCCACCTTCATTAGAAAAAGAAAGCACTATTGATTCACCATTGGAATGTGATCCATCCATCTTTAATGTCAGGCTAGTGGCTTAATTTGATAATTACCATAATCCGGGGGGTGGTCTCCCAGAAGAGCAGGCTGCCTCTGACGTTTGTTGGGATTGCCATTGGGATCTAAAATGGTAAAAGAAAAGTTGCCTATCAAACTTCACACGTGTTAGTAAGTGCTAAAGGGCAAAGCTGTGATTGACATGCAACAGATGGTCCTGACATCTTAAGTGTTAACATCAGTAGGCTCTACTTTGCTAAACTAACATGACATAATGGAGATTTTGAAACAGATTTTTTTGAAAGCTAGATTTCAGGCATTTTTAAAAGGTATCCTATATCAGTACAAACACACACACCTTGTGAATTGTTCCAATTGCCTTCACCATCAGCATCTGTGCAGGTACACATATACATACGTTAAATCCAAATTAACATTAAAGATATATAAATGTGGCAACACCATTTTTTTCCCTAGGAAATCAGATCAAACACAAACAATCAAGTAGAAGATCAGAGATTAAAATGTGCATCAGTGCTAAGAGTGGCACTTGCAGTCTAAGGATGTTTTATTGAAAACTATGAATACTAAGCACTTTATACAAAACAGGAAAAGACACAGTATAACATCAGAAGTGAAAAGATATCAAGCATATAGACTAGATTACAATGTGAAAGGAAAACAATTAAAACATGACCGTAGACTACCTTAAATTCATCAAGAAAGAAGTGAGTGCTATCATTATCCATGGTCCATTGTAATTATATTTAAAAAAAAAACCTTTTCACCAAGATCCATTAAACAAAAGCCAGATTTCTCTTTATTAACATCCACCTGCTTTTGCAGGGCCACTTCCTGATGTTTAGCAGATCAATAAATTACTCTTAGCAATTCATTATGAAAATGGCAGTTAGCTTTTCTGCTTTGCACCCATTAGCCCTTGGTGTCTGTGAAAGTCAGAACTGCCTACTTACACTGATTTTCCAAGAGTGCCAATGAGTATGAGGCCAGTGAAAAAACAACGTACCCTTAAATGTTTCTTACAAATTATTTCAAATCTGTTACATGAAATAATTTTAATATCCTAAATCCAACCTTAAATGTAACCAAAACATTTTACTGCTGAATATTTATGTGCACAGGTAATGCAGGTACACACACTGTGATATGGTGTTATGAACAGCTGTATATCTGAGACAGGTGTGGCATTAATCTTAATAAATCAGCAGCTGCTTATAATGAACCTTGAATTACTAATTGAATGTGTCACTTAAGACGGACCTGAATTGGCAATACAAGTGGGCATGACTAGTGGTACTAGTCATCATATGGGGGAACAAACCATAATCACACTGCACAAAATTTTGTACTAAAATACAGTAAATTTATATAACAAATTCCTATACTCCCCCCCAACTCACAAAGTGAAGAGAAATATAACCTATCTACATTCCATTATACCTTGACCTGACTAAACAAAACCTCCTGCATGTCATGATAATGTGTCACCACAACCATCTAAGGACAGCACTAAAACTAAATAAAAAGCAGCACCAGAACTAAATACCAAATCTGTAAAATAAAATTCTACTTGGAGAAGCCACATTGCCCTGGTCGTACCTGGTTTCGTAGGCTAAGCGGGGCTGGGCGTGGTTAGTACTTGGATGGGAATACCAGGTACAGCGACTACACCAAGGTACTGGGTTTGCACATGCTAGTACACTTTATGTACTGGTCCCAAGCCTGGATAAAATGGACAGGAATCTAATGTAACAACGGAGCCAAATCACACATGCCAATAGCAGTAATCCGCTTTGGTGCCTCTCAAACCACGGAGAGCAGCCAAAATAGGACCATCATAACAGACTGTTGGGACAATCAAGATTTGCTGCTACAGGACAATAAAAGCTATGTACAACCTTTCACACACTCCCCTGACAAAACTAAATTTTCCCCAAATATCAAAGTCACTTCCCTAGATACTAAGATGCTTGATAACCCAACATGAGGCAGTATAATCAGCCATTAAAGTAACAAATTAAAATATTTTGACATTAATACATGAAAAGAACATTGCCAAGGGAATTCAGAGTCAGTATATTACATTACTAATGGTTGTTCGCTGGTGTTATGGGCGTATTACTAGGATAATGTAGTATCAAAAAGTTAAGACAACAGGCAAGTTGGTTTAGTTTCACAATATCTTAAAAACTTTGAACCATTAAGTCAGATTATTCATTTCTCTCAAGTACTTACAGCACCACACATGGAGCATGGGACACAGTGGGCAGGTAGGGGGCAGTCTTCAGCAAGGATGCCACCCTCCAACCTCTGATTCCAGCCTCAACTCATTCTCCCTCTTCAGTCTTTGCTTTCTTCTTTCCCTCCTTGTATCCCCACCACCAGAGAGAAAAGTACATCCACACGCCCATGCTCGGTTTTGACTTGCAGCCTGTTTGTTTTGAAAGTTGCTATTAGAGGCTCTTTTCCAGCTTACCGTGCTCTGACCACAAAGCAGGACATTTGCACCGTTTGAGAGTGGGCTGTCAGTCCACAGACACACTGAGGCAAACCTGCATCACACGGGAGGCGTTAAAGGCATCACTATGGGCCAGTGCAACAAAGGGTAAATTAATTAACGCAGAAACAACACATGAACAGCACAGAGAGGAGGAGGGAAATGGGGAGAAGGTACAGGGAAGAAACAGAACACCAGTCCATAAATGTAGAAAAAGCTTTGGAAAAGGATTTTTAATCTGTTTGCCTCTGTGCTTGTATGCTTGATAGGTGTTTGATGCTTGTGTCTTCATAGCCCCCCTGTGGATATTTCTTCTCATGTAAAATGGGCGTTCACGTGATGCTTGTTTATTTGGTTTAATAGTTGTCAGCCACTTGCAAAGTGAAAAGGCATCTAGTGCTTGTCAATAAGTCATCTGGAATATCTGCGTGATGATGTGCTGTCATGGTGGCTGAGCTCTGTGTGTTGCCGTGGATATTCAGCATGTTGTGTTGTCATGTGGCACAGGAAGGTAGAGACGAGCAGTATTAGCATCTGAGAGAGAAATTGGCCTCTTTTTTGTCTACTGCCCCAGTATGTTGTGACATCTGTTCCCTTGTCAGGCTGAGTGTGTCTGATAACTCCTCTGTTGCTCCCTGTGGTTGTGTTATTGCAGGCACATCCCATGGGCTAGGAGGCGTGGCCAAAACGACCATGCACCTGACTCCCACCACCACCACCATCATCAGTGTGTTGTGTCAAAAGTGGTGACTCCTCGAGGCTCTGCAGCTGAGATGTGCTGTAGTGGTAAAGAGGTGCTGGTAGATGCTTAATATATCATCATTCTGTGGTGGATATGCGAGGGGTGTTTGTTTGCATGGCCTTGGAGTATTTCTGTCACTCAAACTGAAATGGTGGCTACTGTCCACCACCAAAAATAAAGTGGATTCCCATGACAGGTGGTGGAGATGATGAACTTGGAATAAGGAAGTACTGAGTTGAGGTTGTGTTCCGGTGTTTGTTGCCCCACTGTGTCCGATGTATGCCACACAGCTGGTTTACATTAGTTGTGGCTGTGGGTGTTATACTGTAGCTGTAGAAGCTGCTGCACCTCTGCAGCATGTGACTGCTCAGAGGCTGAGGGAAACTTGTATGAGTTGGCACAGTGAGGACACAAGGAGTACCCCTGTTCGTAAGGCAGCACAAACTAGAATATCAAGAATCTCTTGAGAGGACAAGATGTCCAACACCTCTATCAATGAGGCAATGTACATGTTTTGGTACTGAATGTGTATAGGGGAAACAATTACATCTCTTGTAGTTTCCAGTAAAAAAGAAAAATCCTCCACCCATCTACCCTAATGTAAAGTATTTATCTGTAATTAGGTTTAACCAGCACACCAGCAATATTCTACTGCTGACAACTCAGAATCTAAGGCAAATGTGTAATACTGAAAAGCAGTATTCTCTCTCTCAGGCTCCTGGCACATTCCATTTTAGTGAATGCTCTTTTTCCAGCTACCATGAAGTCTGATTACCTTCTTATCTGATTGCCTTGTATTTTCATCATAAAAGTGAAAGAGAAGAACCTGTCCCCAAAAAGGGCCAAGTTGCTTAGGAAGTTCCTCTCCAAGTATTTTCATCAATGCAATGACAACTCCTAAACAATGAGTGTGTTTACACTAGTATCCTGGTTACTAATGATTACTAAATCTCCAGCCTCCTCAGGTCTATCATTTTCTATCTCTATTAATATGAATTTATAATTAGAACAACATTTCCTAACTTCCTTATTTTGTTTTTCTTTATGGAAAAGACTGAGGACAGCCTATATGTGTATTAATCTTAATGCACGTTATGCAACTTAGTGCTACCTGGGGTTGATGCAACGCCCTTGGATTCACAGGGAAAGCTGATGTCAAATCCTCCACTACAGAGGCAAGTGGCCAGGGACCAAGCATGTCATTCAATATTTTGAAGAATTTTAAGGTTGCTGGTCTAGACCCACCTCTTTTGTGCTGATGTTTGGCCTCATAGTAATTTTCCTACAGGATTTTCCACTGTGATCTGACTAATTAACCAGCATCCCGTACCTAATTTGTCCACTACAGATTTGAAGTCGGTATGTCTACACTTTCTCTGATCTAAACTGTCAAGTCCAATTCACTCTTTCATTATCACAAGCCAAAACTGTTTTCATTGCTCCAAACGTGAGACGCTTTTGCCGGATTTCTGAAATCGGGATATGTTTACATGTACAAACAGAAAAACTGGAAAATTCAAAACCCCGATCGTAACCAGGATACTCATGTCCATGTAAACACACCAACCGTTTGACCCCACTTTACATTTGAAGCGATCCCCAACTCTAAAAACCTAATTCCACTTTATCTACCATAAAATTGCTTAGTCTCAAAACAATCCAAAATTGCTCATTCTAAAGATACTGATTTGAAACATTAATATAAATTTGATCAAGTCTGTAATATAGTCACACCAGAAAGTATTCAGGCCCTTTCAATTTTTGCACTTTGTATTGTAGATTTTAAATTTATCAATTTAAATGCTGCCAAAGAGCCGCAAAGTAGTAATAGAATTTGTTTTCTAAAAACACGTTTTCACTTGCTCATTATGAGTTAGTGTTTAAGCTGATGACCAAAGAGATAATTTTATCCATTTAAAATTAAATCTACAACAATTAGTGTTTACTTATTAAAGGGTTCTACATACTTTTTGAAGCCACTGTACGATTTACATTAAAGATCCAATGAAATGCTGAATTTTCTCGTTTCCCTCTGTGGTTCCACCATCATGGTTCCAAGCAGAACAGAACATAAAAAGTGCATTTATCCCATTACTGTACCCAAACCCCATCCTTTCCCTTACTGTTAGTTATAATTAAAAACAGTTTACTTGAGGCATATACAGAATCACACATCCAATAAAAATACAATCGCAGACTAAGATCAGCAGCAGCAAACACCCAACAACACATATGGGTGTTGAATCCTCAACACAATGACCGATAGCGCTCATTCCGCTGTTTATGCTCCCCTACTTTGAAACTGAAGCTGTCCCTTTATTAAGACTAACTTCCATGCAGACATACATGTATAGTACATCAAAGCGTGGGAAACATTCAAGAGCTCTGGTTTCATTTCATAGGATCTTCAGCCAGAGGTGTGCCTAGAGGTCTCTTAGGTCAATCTGGTGGCTAGCCCAATGTCTGGTTTTTGCTCAAATCTCCACTATGTTTGAAAGGGTGCTAACAGGTAAGATAGTCTAGTGTTTTCTGGATTAGAGTAGGCAGGATTGTGAGGTCATGCAGCTTTGCCATGCTCTGTGGGGAATGTGAACTACGTAATGAATGGTGTGCCTGCATATACTACTGTCGCAGGTGTTGGGTTTTTCACATGCATGAGCCTGAAAGTGATGTTGGCTGCCCTTGAGGTTGCTCCTCATGCCCTTACTTTATGCCGGTGTGGCGAGAAAATGCATGAAGGGATCACAAGAATACTGCCTTGCTGAGCAGAAAGGTGAAGAACCCATTTATCTGTCATCAAAGGCAATACCCCCGGAGGCTGAGTTCCCCAACCATCCCATACAGTGGCATGAGAGGAAAAGAGGAAGAAAAAGGGGAAAGGCGAGGTTGGGGTCTGCATGTTACCTTGGCTGCTCAGGTTGGGATTTGTGTAGTCCCACGTGTCTTGGTCGTTTTTGAAGACATTAAGGCGTGCTGGCTGTGGATAGGTTTGCATTACAGAAAAAAAAAAAAAAAAATTAAAACTAGTTTCCTGTCACTAACAAATGATGTTTATTTTCCTGGTACAGTGGTTGATTAGACATTGCCATACACTCACCTTGGCATATTCGATCTTTAGAGTGCAACAGCCAGAATAGATGTCTGCCCCATTGAGTGAGGCTTTGGCCCTCTGGGCACTTTGGACTGAATCAAATGTGGCAGCAATGAGTTAAGGTGAGGTCCGATTATAGAAGCTTTCTGAGGGCCCAAATATAATTAAACATCAAGATGTTATCTAGTATGTCAAAATGTAAATGACCAGAAAAAAGGATATTCAACCATGGCCTGAACACCATTCTTTCTGAAGATGACAATCCTCTGCACAGGACCACAGTTGTTACAAATAGTGAAGAGCACATCCTGTAGAGGCATACAAAGACACTGATAATGCACACTTTATGCGCAACAATACACCGAGGCAGAAAGTTGACACATATGACCAAATAGTATGCAGACAAATGTCTACACATGATGCAGCATGCTTGGTATTGGGTTATTAGCCACCCTCGTAGTGGAATAACATATACAGTTTTAAGGTCACTAGTCCTGGTAATTACTAGTGGGGGGAGGAATGAACGCCAATGAATATGTTGGCAATAAACTCTCCAGCCAAGTTGTAGTAAAACTAAACAGCCCAATACCATTATTATTTGTTAAGCCAATTTCAAACGTGTTACATCTAGCAGAAAAAAAATAATGTACAGTAACCTAATAAATTGTCTAAACTTGTAATCACACAATAAGATATCCAGGTTGTGACACTACTACATAAATGATTTGACACTGTCGCTGCACCCAAGGCCCATTTTATAATCATATTACCGTGGTGATAGGATAGATGGGGTTTATGATCGTGAGAAGCAGCACGTTGTTAACACTCCGGGTGTCGTCCGAGTCTCCTGGCCGGGAGATCTTTTGGCTAGTGGAGTAATTGATGAAGGCAGGGTGGCCTGCAATGTAAACCTGGTTCTCTGCTGCATATGTAACAGCATTGCAGGAGCCATTCATGTCGTCATACTCCACCAGGGCCTGGCGCTTCTTGGGCATCATAACCACATAACTGCAAATAAATATTTAAAGAAGAAAATTACAGGACTCATTGGCTGGATTCTTAGACCATATTTCATCAATGAAAGCATCAGTCACAAGGGTTTAAAATCATTGGCCCCTTACACTGGCCTTGCACCTAACCACTTTGAGCGATTTCACGTCACAGACAAATTTCCAACATTGGAATAAAATCATGAGTCTTGCTACAGTCAAGTCATGCTCTGGTCATCTCAATCGTTTGGTTTAAGGTGGTAATTTGAGCTGTTTTAAGTCAGTCTTTTGCTCATTTTGACATTCCAATAAAATCAAACATGTTTAATATTATCCTAAAAGTCCTTAGTCTTGGCTTGTGCAGACAGTGACATGAACATCATAGACAGCCAATAGGTGAGCTCTCTCCAGTACGAAACAGGAAGCAGAATAGCAAAGACTTTGTTCCTGCTTATAGATCATGAAAATAACTGATAAAATATTAGGATATTTTATCAAGAGGATTTCCACTTCAGACATGTCCAGCTTCTGAAAAGTATGTTCATTTATGCACTCAATACTTGGTCAACTTCTAGACGACTGTCAAGTAAACAGTCTTCATCACGATTGTGGTCGTGTGTACTGAACTAGACTGAAAGATACACAGTATTTATACTGTATAAATAACTTACTCAAATTCTAAATTAAAAATATTTTGAGATACAGGATTTTTGATTTTCATGATATAAGGTGTAATAATTGAAGATAACAAAAAATGGCTAGAATATTTCACTTTAAGTGTCGTGAATCTAGAATATACAAGTTTCACTTTTTGAATTAAATTACCAAAAAATGACTTTTTCCATGATGTTCAAATATTATTAGATACACTTATACAAATAAAACAGGCACTACCTTCCAGTAGACATTCTCAGATAAGCGGTATGTATGCTACATGTCCAATATGAAAAAACACATACATGAATTAAAAAGTGTCTGGAGAAAAACTAAAAAAAAAAACTACAACAGCTAGTTCTGAAGGGATATGGAGAACTAACAAGTTAGTCCTGGACTCCAGTAGTGCTCTTTTTTTGTAATGAATACAACTGTTTAATATAATCGCCACTGTGACTAAAAGCTTAACATAATGACAATGGGTAAGGAGGTGCTGTCTGAGAGTGCTTTATGAAGCTACTATGAATGTTCACACAACAGGGCCCATGAATCCCGCAGCAGCTGAATCATTCTACTGAAGAACATAGTGAATACTGTCAGCATGTTAGACATAACTTTAGCTACATGATCTGATATTACCTGATGGTCCCAAATTCCTGCAGGGCCTCCACCAGGTCAGCCTCCATAATACCGTCCACCAAGCCCCTAATATGCACCACTGAGGAGGGTAGCGGTTTATGAGGATCATCGTAGCTTTCCTGAAAATGATTCACGCTAGATGATGCTTCTCAGGTCATAATACACAGACCGCTTGAGGAAAGGGGATGGGTCCCTAAAAAGTGCATACTAATAAGTAACGTTAGCAGTATCAAGCACAGAGTCATAAAATCTACGCTCTCAAGTGAGTGCTATGAAATAACGCTAACCCTTACTGTGTTAGGTTAGCGTTTGTAACGCCGAGATAGCTAAAGTTACAGGACCATTAACGCTACCGTTAAACGCTGACCTAATAAAACATTTTTGCTCATTTGCTTTGCTTACAGTGAACTAGCGTTACTAGCTAACCCAAACCAAAATAGCGCTAACGTGAACTGCTTTTATTCGGATATCTAACGCTAGCGATACTTAGCATTTTCACTTTAGCTAGCCAAATACCGCTAAGCGCTACTTTGTCAAGACAGATTACTCTTTTAAAAAAAGTAAAACTTAACACATTTGGAATAATAAAGCACAAACTACCAAGGTAATAAGGAAACTCTTACCGTAGTCATTCCTCCCTCCTCAGTTTTCTGTCTTTTGGTTGCTCTGCCACCTTCTCCGTAGTATCGACCCGCTGCAGCAGCCATGTTGTCCTGTCCCCTGCGCCGGGCTACTGTTACATTCATAAAGTGTGAGGAAGAAAGAATACTATATAGCGGCTAGCAATGTTTTCCCATTGTCCACAGATGTCTGATCCTTTGAGGCGGTTCATAGATTCACATTTTCTTACATAAACAGTCGAATAATTGCGGATTTTCTATCGACGAATGAGTCTCCAGTGGTAATCAAACGTTGTGATCAAGGCGTGACTTTTAAATCAACAGTTTGCTTATTCTGCGAAAATTGCGACCTGACAACCATTGTAACATGATTAACTCGTTTAGTTTAGATAAAGCAGAAAGGGGGAGGGCGACGAAGGCATAAAGCGGAACTTTGTCTTTTAGGCGAGTTTGACTCCACCTTGAATTGTCCTGAATTTCCCTCGGGATCAATAAAGTATTCATCATTTAGATCAGGGTGCTCAAAAATTCTCTTTACCACGGTGGGTATTGAATGCACCAGCAGCGCTTGACTACTGACTCTATGGAGCATGACATGTCCCTTTACCTTGTTAATCATTAATATTATCGTATCCTCTTAACATCCCTACTTTCATTTGACTCTTCATGTTAGCCTCTCAACCAGAACTTCATGAAAGACTTTGTATCCAGGTATGCTGAAATGCATTTTTCTCTATACAGCTGCTGTACATTGCAGCTGGGATCGGCTCCAGCTCCCCGCAACCCTCTTCAGGATAGGCGGTATAGATAATGGATTGATGTACATTGCAATGCAATGCAGATTTACAGTTCATATTTTTTTATGCATACAAATTGTGACCGGGCCAATATACAGGCCTAGGCAACTCAGACCGTAGTTCCCCAAGAATAACACCCCTCCTGTTTTCCGAGGTCAAATTCATGCAAACTTCCCCAGTACTGAGCTGCTACCCCCATATAGATCTGCAAACACAGAGACGTTGGAGTTACTCACACAGATAAAACTTTGAGTCAAAGTATAATTTAACAGTAATAATGTTTTAAGAAACCTAACCCCAGTAGCTAAAATGTTGCCTATAAGAAGAAGAAGCCCCCCGCCCCAGAGAGCATGCGGCAATCTCCTAAAAACAGTCTACAACCAAAACAACCTGATTAAACACTTTGCACTGTAACAGATCCGATCTACACTCAGCCCGTTGGACATACCTTAAAGGAGAAGCAGGACACAGCTCGATGGAGGGAGATTCACGTCAGACCGGTTACGGCAGCGACCAGCACAGACATTGCTTATCACAACAGCATCTCATTGACATGG